AGCAAAAGCAGTCACAACAACGCACACGCAATAACATTTTCAGCAGCCGTTCATCTCAGTGCTAGCAGCAAAATACGTAGCACGCTGAATGAGCAGGATTATCGTTCCCAGGACGCAGGAGCAAAGCCCACAGCAGCATTGCCGAAGGCACCAGGTATGATCAATTTGTTCATAATTATTATGCACAATGTAGTGTGTGTGTGTGTGTGTGTGTGTGTGTGTGTGTGTGTATGTGTGTGTTTGTGTGTGTGTGTGTCCGAACACTCCGACGAATGCGCCAATGGCACTGGATGGACGGTGAAGCCATAGATTCTATGGAATCATTCACGTATCTTGGCAGTGACATACACCGCGATGGTTTGTCATCCCATGACGTCCAGGCCCGCATTGGCAAGGCATCCAAAGCCTTTGGTAGTTTGAAGCAAGCCGTGTTCGAGAACCGGTCACTGAGTCTGCAGTGTCGTCGTCGCGTGTATGTTGCCGTGGTGCTCTCTACCCTCCTGTCCGGCGCGGAGACCTGGACAACGAAGGCTCCGGAACTACGGCGCCTCAACCTCTTCCACCATCAATGTGTCAGATCTATCAATGGAGTGTCGCGACGGCAGCAATGGGAGACCCATGCAACGTCCTCAGCCCTTGCAAAGACCTTTGGAGTGCCTGAGGACATTGGTCACATCGTACGGGAACGACGTTTGCGCTGCCTTGGACACGTGGCACGGATGGAAGATCACCGGTTGCCGAAGTGTGTTCTCTTCAGTGAAGTGCCTGCCCCGCGCATGGTCCACGCAAGAGGTGGAGGGACGTCATTATGGATGACTTTGCGTCGGTTGAGCCACCGGTACCAACATGTGGATGGTACGAGTCAGCCCAGAACCGTCCGGAATGGCGTGCCATTGCCCGTCGCCCACCCAAGGCACCCTCTGCTGCTGACTACGGTTGCGCCTGCGGCCGCATGTTCCGTCGAAGCGGCAACCTGAAACGCCATCAGTCATTCTGTCGTGAACTGGAGAAATAACAATGCGCTATCATTGCTACGGAATGGGCAAGGTCAAGGTCAAGGTGTGTGTGGTGTGTGTGTGTGTGTGTATGTGTAAGATGTGTGTGTGTGTGTGTGTGTGCGTGTGTGTGTGTGTGTTTTTTGTTTTTGTTTTATTTGTACTATTATTCACAAACCCAACTCGTAAAATAAATAATTATGTAGACAAAAACAAACAACTACTGAGCAGGGGCTGCACTGGGCAGCAGTGATGGTGAGATACCAGGGGCTCCACCGACCAAAGGTCTCGGCTTCAATGCCACAAGCACGCACCAGGAAAAAGAAACAGAAATGTAAAGCAAAGCTAGATCTAGCTGTGGGGAAGTAGAATGGGTAAAAGTACCGGTAGGTGTTTAGAAAAATAAAAACAAGATGAAAAGAGATTGTTTATTATCAGTGTTTGGACTGATGTACAATGTACATGTCAACTTCATCAACCAAAGCTTATGAACTTTTTTAATAGATCTGAAACGAAACTCGCACAAAGAAGTGTAAAGAAAACAAGCTAAAAAACAGAAAAATAATAAGGCACCCATTTTGATAATCCAGGGGATGGCCCACGCCTGGTAAAAGAATAAGCAGAGAAAAGAAAAGAATCATAACAAGTTTTTCCATGTATGCAAAACACAGCTGAGCACTCTGAGCAAGGCCAGGTACGCGGATTAGCGGGTCCGGCAAGCGACGAGCTCGAAAAATTACAGGGAATCTGTTGCCCAGTACCAGTTGCTGTCTCTCAGGTGTCGGTAGACCTTTGTCTTGAATGACTGAAAACGTGTTTTGTGTGGGCGCTGCGACAGCAGCCTGTCAGGAAGGGAGTTCCATGCGCCAATACAGCAGTACGGGAACGACCGCTTCACGTGTGTGTGTGTGTGTGTGCGTGCTGAGGGACTCAACACAAGGCCCAGACACGGCCCCGAGAAACTTTGGAGGGACATCGCCGCTGCTGATCTGAGTGCTCGGTGCGTGACAGGTGACTGGTGCGACTTGGCACAGGACAGACGAGACTGGTGCCTCATGTGCAATCGTCCCCGGCCGGCTGTGCCAAAGCCGAGAGTGTTCATTTGCGGCTGTGGCAGGGACTTCCGTCGGCCCAACGATCTAACTCGCCACAGGAAATACTGCAACTCCTGATGCTATCATTGCACGGAGCAATGGGTATCCGAAGGTCCAAAGGTGTGTGTGCGTCACATCGTCCGTGAGCGCTACCCTACGTTTGTGGATGCACTCCGTGACATGGATGACTGCTTGTCCATGGTCTTTCTTTTCGCCACACTACCACAGGAGAACCGTGTCAAGCGGAAATTTGTACAGAAATGTCGTCGTCTATCAGTGGAATTCATGCATTACGTTATGGCTTCCAATCGGCTGCCCGGCAAGGTCTTCATCTCTATCAAGGGCATAATTATACTATCAAGTAGAAATCCATGGGTTGTACCAAATCAGTTTGCCCAGCATACGCCAAGTGACATTGACTTCCGGATCATGTTGAGATATTTGGAGTTGTACACCACTCTGCTGGGTTTTATCAACTACCAGCTCTTCCCATCGCTGAACTTACACTATCCACCTATGTTATCTGAGTTCCCACCATCAGAAGATGGAGAAGGAGCAGAGAATGACGAGGTGTTTGAATCTCTGGCACATCAGCTGGTTACTCTTCCCAAAACCGCTCTGGAGACTGAGGAGGCAGAGGAAGATGAGGAGTTGGCCCAGCTAGTTAATGCCGACTTAAATTGCCAGTGCATGCCGGAGTATGTGGTGTGATGTGTGTGCGGGAAAAAAATGAAAAAGACCAAAAAGAAGGGATTCTCTGGCCAAGCCACTTCATAGCTGTCTGGTGTAGACCAGGCTGGACAGTGGGGGTCAATTCTTCAGCCTTGCATGCTGTTGAATGGTGCAATCCCAGCACAAGCTGCTATGGCTTCTGCCGTAGCACCGCTATCATCGCCTCTGGCGATGGGCGTCAAATGGTCAATGGTGTGTGCGTATGCGTGCGTGGATGCGCGCCTGCGCGTTTGTGTGTGTGTGTGTTAACAGACTGGACCTGCAGGCTCTCTGCCAGCTTAGGAAGTTTCGCTCGTGCCAGGCCACCACCATGCTTGTGATACCAGGGTGGCAGATGCAGCGCCCAACAGCGAGGGTGAGGTGGTAACTCTCACAACCAATGCCTCCGCAGGTAAGTACTAGTAAAGCCTCTTGTGCGGGAAATTAATTGCACATGTCATCAAACAAATTCAAATTCAGTAAAATACTTTGAAGTACAAAATATATTGAAATGTAGAAAGGAAAAGGACATAATTATGGATACGAGTTAAGAGTAACTCTCCATTACTGTAACTGGATACTATATACAGTCAGAAAGTGCAAAAACTAGGCACAAAACTGAGAAGAGTACTGATACATTCGACGTCCTGACGCCTAGCTTCAACACATCTCCGTAGCGGCTGTCGGTTAGCGCTACGGAGATGTGTTGAAGCTAGGCGTCAGGACGTCGAATGTCTCAGTACTCTTGTCAGTTTTGTGCCTAGTTTTGCACTTTCTGACTGTATAGTATCCAGTTACAGTGATGGAGAGTTACTCTTAACTAGTATCCATATGTCCTTTTCCTTTCTACATTTATTTATGGCTCAACAGTTATAAATTTAAATGCTAGTATTTAACACAAAATATAAAGTAAATATCAACTGGAGCACGAAAAAGAGACAAAAAACCCTAGGTAAAAGAGCCCACAGAAACATCACCGTACTGGCAAAGAACGGCAGCTATTTACAAAGGCCCTATTCCTACGCCTGTATGATGCCCGGCACCCTCTGATACGGATAAGTACTAGTTGTTAGTTTGACAGCATGAAACAGTCAAACTAACAACATGTGTGAACTATAACAAGGTTTATCTAATACTAGTATTGTACTGGTATTAAAATAGTGGTTTCGAGTAGTATTGGGTTATATAATAGGTACCGTATTTTACCGGTTGTAAGTCGACCCCCGTATCCGGAGATCTCAATTCTGCGTTTTAAAGTTTTCACCCAAAGAAGCACTACTAACCACTCCCTTCTACTAACACAACAACAAATTGTGTAAAAATTCCTTAGTGGAGGGTATAACGTCCCGATCCTTGAAAAAGGCCAATAAACTGGTAAAAATGTGTGCACATGGTGCTCTCGTGCATGCAGTGCAGGTCGTTTTTTGTAAGATACTGATAGTTCCCGATTATAAGTCGAATCCCGGTTGTAAGTCGACCCCCACCCTTTCTCCTTCTACGGAAAATACGGTAAGTACTAGTGGGGCGTACTAGTAACGTCCGCGTTACAATTTCGAACATTCCTCCGGGAAATCACATCGCCTGGCTTGAGTGTGATCGAAGTGAGTAGCTACATGTATGACTGTGTACTTTGTGGAGTGCGATGGAAGTTCGCTGGTTCCGATGAGATAAACTTTGACCCCGAGGCAACAAAGCAGTAGTAGTATACAATGCATAGCAGGCGCATGTGAACTGACAGGTTCGTCTGTCGGAATCGCTCCCAAAGGCAAACGCAGTGAAAGAACATGCCATCTGGAATTGCGTTTAGCAAAGGGCCACAGGGACGGACACAGTTGATATCCACATCAATACCCGTTGCTAAATGCGATCTTTCCAACCTGTGTTCGCAGCGCCTGCCAGTTCAATGTCCGCTGTTAGGTGCAATTTAGTCCGGCCTGATCTGATATCTTGATGGGCCACTTGTCCATAGTCAAGCAGGGAAGTGTTCTAAAAATAGTATTTCGCCACTCCTACACACAGCCTGCTTCAACATGCAGAGTGCCAGTGTCCGCATTCAGGAATATGTTGGCAACAAATGCATGCTCGCAAATCATGTGCATTACTTCCTCAGTTTGAGGAGAGGAAGGTAGAAAATCCGAAAGTATGTAGATATTTTGTGTTAATTCGCATATTCTTTTTTTGGTTTTTGTTGTACATACAGAACCGGCACAGATATCGTGCACACCGGCGGTGACCAGGCTGGAGGTGGGCGGCTCAGCAACGGCGACGTGCAACGTAGCCGTGGCTCCGTTGACCACCATCAGCACCACGCACTTGCCGTAGCAGCTGCACCACATGTGGCTACGGCGAGAGCGCACCGCCTTCGGCTACCGCTTCCTGATAAACTTTGAGCGTGTCAACCTGGACCACAACCGAGAGTAAAGCGGTTGTGCTATCGCATTGAAGTGGCCGCCAATCAGCCGGTGCACTCGGACCCGCCACCACAGCCGGAGATCACTAGCGTGGAGAGCACGGACAATGCCGTCACGTACAGCTGAACATTGCTGAGCGACGGCGAGGGCAATGGCGGCGCGCGGACACCTTTCATCACCGAGGAGTCGGTTGTGAGTCATGACTTCGTGTACGGCAAGCGTGTGCTCTCCGGCAAGACTTATGATTCATCCTTTCACTTTGCACTAATACCCATTTCTGCTTTCTGCGGATGCTTTCATAGGTCTGGATGTCAAATGTCCACCGGTGATTGACGTCGCACTGAAGGCATATGCGTTCAATGCCCACCGAGCACCACCGACGGCGTACAGCATGCGTGCAAAGTGCAACACGACCATTCCAGTAGCCGACGTGCACATCCAGGCACCCGACTTCATCAAGGCGCGTGGAACGAACAGCTCACCGAAGGCCCACAATCACATTCGCCTGTCAAACCGTCGCAACCACCAAGTCATGCCTCTCAAGAATGACCAGCATTGTATACGTGTCAGTGCTGCACAAAAGCAACCGGTGCAGTCGTGCTTCAAACTCAATGTTACCCGTAAGTTATTTCACACCGAGTGCCTGGCGATTTCTAGTGGAAATTCTTTTGAACACGCCAGGTTGCATAATTTAAACCATGCTGATTCGCATAGGCATCACATGCCAGTTTCCTGCATATTGTTGAGATTCGCTGTAACTCACAAGTTCTCGCATTCTTCTCTGTATTTCACCTGTCCACAGGACCTCTAACAGCAGCAATCCAGGATGTGCTGTGCCGCTCCCGGAACTGTTCGGCAATTGTAGTGTCCACGACGAGCGGTGCGAATTCAGGGACGCGCAGGATCCTAGGCTGCTTCGTCACCGGCTATCCACTGCCGCGCAACGACCAGGTGCAGTGGACGTACGACGGCGAGCAGCTGTCCCCTCGCGCGCACGCGTCCTGGGTGCGTCGAGTGCTAGGCTGCCGTGCTATCAAGCACCATGGCGAGGACCTGCGGCTCTGCAAGGTGAAAGTGAGCGCCGCCAGCTTCCTGGGTGTCAACCCGCTCCTGCTTCGGTGCAGTGCACACAACGACCACGGCAACACCGCACAGGCCATTGGCACGTCTAGCCTGCTAAACAGAACAGAACTTAATCACAACGTCTAAAGTAAAGGAATACTTCAGGCAACATTATATACAAGAAATCACCCAATCAGTACTATTTAATCTGAACTAGAATTTTCCTATTCCATCATGACATCATCCACAGATCTCTATCGTTAATCCTTCATAAAATATTCCCGGTACCTCACTATCAGGCACTCACGTCACTGATTGGCGTGACCGCATACTTATCTCATGTGTTATGATTTCAAGAAGTATCCACATAATCATGGTTTCAGCTGTTTTCCTCTAGTTCTATGAACAGCATAAGCCTTTTAAAATAAGTACTGGCCCGCAAGCTCCGGCCCACAACTCATTTGTAAAATTTGTGACAAAGCATTCCTTGAAAAACGATGAGAAAAGATAATAATTATTGGGATATGGCAATAAGTAGGCCTATAGGACGAGCTGAAGCGACATGTGGACTACTTTATTAACAATGTTATTGTAAGCGATGGAGACGATGCAAGAAACAACCTAAAGGGTAAGGAAAAATACATGTAAGAAGAAAAAGGGCAATGGAAAAAAGACGATTCGAACAAGTTTTCGTACAACACTCTTCAGGAATCACCGTTGTACTAAAGAACAAAATGAGAACAAAGGAAGTAATATAGCAATCAAGGTAGGGTGACACGTAACAATGACAGCACTGGAATATCGAGGTGCGATTTCTCACAAAAGTGTGCAGAAAACAAGGGTATACAAGTAAGAACTAAGCGTGACAAGTGTGTATCAGCAACAAAAACAAAAAAGTGAGAACGAATGATAATAATAACAATAATAAACAAGAAGGTGACAAAACACATTTAGGCACAAGTGGCAACAACACTTTTTTGTTTTTGTTGCTGATACACACTTGTCACGCTTAGTTCTTACTTGTATACCCTTGTTTTCTGCACATATTTGTGAGAAATCGCACCTCGATATTCCAGTGCTGTCATTGTTACGTGTCACCCTACCTTGATTGCTATATTATTTCCTTTGTTCTCATTTTGTTCTTTAGTACAACGGTGATTCCTGAAGAGTGTTGTACGAAAACTTGTTCGAATCATCTTTTTTCCATTGCCCTTTTTCTTCTTACATGTATTTTTCCTTACCCTTTAGGTTGTTTCTTGCATCGTTTCCATCGCTTACATTGTTAATAAAGTAGTCCACATGTCGCTTCAGCTCGTCCTACTTATTGCCATATTAAAATTATTGTCTCCTCGTCGAATTTTTAAATTATTGGGATGTTCAGCCAATATTAATTAATGTAGAAGGGAAAGGGACATATGGATAGGAGTTAAGAGTAGCTAACTGTTAGGCTCACAACTGACAGAGCTCTAAGACATTCGACGACCTGACTTCTAGCTGCAAAACATTTCCGAACCGCAAACCAACAGCCCTAAAAAAAATGGGTTCAGGCTAAAGTCCCGAGACCTGTAAGATACTTGACAAAGCGGTCTAACTACAATAAAGCAGTACAGCACCCAACTTGGGTGGCTCAGAGATATCAAAGATAAGTACAGAAGAGGAAGCGTTGTACAGAACCGAACGCCAAACGCCTACAGACTACAGTACGCCTAATGCATAACATTGTGATGGACTAGTTGACTTCAAAACAAGTAGTTTCACATGACGTACGTTTCGCCGCATGGTTCGCGACAGCTCATCAGGTGTGCAATTTGAAACTCGGATGTTGAGTCAATAATAATTAGCAGCAAGGAATGGGACAGCTTCTCTCAGCCCATCTACACATCTGATCGGCACAGTCATTATGTCTTTTTCAAATGTATATCCTTAGGTGGTTTCCCTTTTCACTTTAGTCACGATTTGCCACTGATGATTGTGGCGAGAATACGTTCGGGATACAAACTGTTTTTCTTCCAATGTTTGTGATATGAGTGTACATTGTAGAAGTACTTGTTATGCAATTACTATATTGTACAAGAGAGGAGAAAGCAAGTAGGCAGCAGCAAAACTATCAAGCTTGGCTTGTAGTTGAAAGAGACACAAGTACTTCGAACTAGCAGCAGCAGCAGCAGCAGCAGGAACTGGAAGGGCTTTGCTCGAGGCAGACTGAGGACGAGTAGAAAGCAAGCAAATGAGGAGTTGGTTTCTGTCCAAAACAATGCTGACTACATCGCGGTGGCCGCTGTTGGTGGATTGGTCCAGCTCATAAAATTATTGGAATTTTGTCATTAAGTCAATTCTTTCTTTCTCACTCCACCGACACTTGCTCATCACTGCCAAGGAGTGTCACAATCCAGTACAGGTTACCTGTGACATTTCGGATGGTTTCTGTGGCACCCGTTCTCTCATGTCTACCAGTGAGTGTGTGACGATTATGATCAACAGTGAGGAAAATGACGTCACCAGTTTGCCAGCGTTGACCAAGGTCTGTTCCGGTGTGGTCATCATCAGCACTATACCCACACCAACCAAAACACTGTGCCACGTCCTGTCTGTAATTGTCCAGTTGTGGCCTACTGGATGAACAGGCAGAGAGAAACATGTGACCAGCAGCGGTCTTGTCGATCCTCACCTTCAGTGTACTGCTACCAGTATCAGTGAGCATAGGTGTGGTACATGCTGATGACCAAGCATCATCGGTACTACCGGTACTCAGTGTGCGACCATCATTGGTGATCTTCAAACCACGACCACATCGACTGTTATCAAACAGTGGCTGACTGGCAGTGGGTGTCAGTGTGAGTTGTTGTGGACTGCCTTGCAAATGTCTGTATCCAATCATAGCTGATACACAGTAGCGACCAGCTTGAAATCGATCATGTCCTATCTCTACACTTCCAGGTAATGATTCACAGCGAGGATGCACAGATGGAAAGTCGTCCACGTCAAGATTGCATACGGAAATCTCCAGTCCGATGTTGTCAAGTTGATCCTGGCTCACACTGCATGCAGGAATATTGGTAACACTGGCAAGGACAGCATCAGCAGTGTGTGATGAAGTTATGTCAACAGTAAGTATGACATCATCACGAGTCGTGGCTTTGTCTGGACAATCCAGTACAGCATGATCAGCTACATCCAGTACAGTACCAGACTTGCCAATGTCATTCAGTAGTTGTGTGATGTCAGTGCTGCCAAACACAAGCCCACTGGACACACATGGAACTTTATCTTCTTCCGCTGTTCGCATTGTTTTGTTCAATGACTCGTCGATCCATGTCCATATACGGAGCAGCTCAACATCGTCAGTGAATGACTGCACAATATTCGAGGCAGTCTCTTCTTGCGATACACACTCCTGAAGTCGATTTCGTTGTTTCTTCAATGACAGCATCTTCTTAGATCGCATGTCATCCAGCTTTGCAAGGAGATCATTTTGACGATTCTCAACTGCCCCGATCAGCAATTTGAAGAACTGGTTGACTTTTCCCGAAGCCTGCTCTGTTTGATCATTGAGCTTCTGAATGTTTGTTTGAACAGTGTTCAATGCTTGGGTTATGATGGCATCACATGTTGATGAACTGCTGCCAAGCTTATTTGCTAGCATATCCCGAGTCTTTTGACCAGCACTGGCTGTATCCAAGACTTGATGATCTTTCTTGTGTGAATGTGCCTGCTTGCACTTTGGACACAGCAACTGGTTACACTGTACGCAGAATCCATCAACGAACTCACTTGTATGCATCACACACCTGTGCTGTGTAGCAGATCTGCTGGTCGATCCTGTAGAAGACGAGGCTTGCTCCACTTGGGATATTGGCGTGACGATGTGTCCCTTCGTGATCTTGTTCAGTGGATGCACACCAGCGTGCGCATCGCACATTTTCACCTGGCAGTTCTCACATCCGCTCCTGGCGATGGTATCATCTCCACACTCTTCACACAAGGGTTTACCCTGCATCTCGTCTCTCGCTTCACTATCTCCACGGCGCACAACATTAGGGAGTGATCGCAATGGCTCTACGCCCACAGCCGGCGGAGTGATGGACAAACATTTCGGACATTTGATGGATGCGTCAAACGAAATGCTGTTCCGCAGACAGGTTGCGCATAGCGTGTGCAGGCAGCAGACAAATTTTAGACCTGTGCTCGATGAACCACAGCCGTTGCACTGGAGAGAAGCCATTGCTATCGACTCCCAGCGACTCACTAGCGTAAAATGTGCAAAGCTCTGATCTCTTGTCTTGAAGTTGAAAGCGGCTGTCTCTTCAATGTTGAATCACAAAAACAGTGTCAACTCTACGAACACTCCTACTAGTCCTAGATCCTGCTCAGTGCTTTCCAGTGTAGACCTGCTACAGTACAGTCTGTACAGTCACCGGTGCCAGCTACCAGGTCTACGTCATTGTACATAATCAGGGCAGGCATGCATGCCCTGGTCTTGCCAGCATTTGAACCGTATTGGTGTTGCCTGTTTCTGACCCACATGTCATGTATGTTAGGATATTTCTGTGGGGATTATACGAAATTATTTTGGGCGCAAGAAAGAAACTAGGCAAGGTGTAACACTGAGAAGTTCCAAGAATATTCTCAAAGCCCTTGGCTTGAATTGGTTCTAGGAAAATAGCAGGTGAGAAACTGTATTCGTCCAATCACAAGCTGCTCACATTTTGCATGGCTCGATATTGCAGCACAGATACAGACTACGAGCAGTTACGATTATTTACACGCTCGTAGTCTGTATATCTGTGCTGCATTATCGAGCCAGCTTGTGATTGGACGAATACAGTTTCTCACCAGCTATTTTCCTAGAACCAAGGGCTTTGAGAATATTCTTGGAACTTCTCAGTGTTACACCTTGTAGTTTCTTTCTTGCGCCCATAATAATCCGCGATATTCATGTTAAAACAAAATGGCGTCACGATTTATTGAAAGTGGTATAGTTGGTGGTACGAGTGTTCAAAACCATTTGAACTTCATACTGTTCGTATTCTTTTTGACATGCTCTCTTTCCATCGTCCTTAGCTTTTGTTTGTTGAGAGCTGTTTTGGCTTTCTCCTATACCTCTGGGGGATGCCAAGTGATGGTTTTGAGAGGCTGGTGATGGCTGTGAGCGAGAGTTTGCCGATCGGCGTCGTCCTCGCTATAGCGATGAAAATACTAGTTACTGCGCACCTGGCAGATATCACAACACGTCGGAGCGTCCAGGAGCAAAGGAATCTTGGGTTTTCACTGGAATCTAGTTCCTCCAGCATCGTGTAGCCCACCGTCGGTGAATGGCGGTCCAGAAAGGTCGAGCCTGGTCTTCTGCAGCATCTCGCAGTCCTGCGAGGCACACTGAATACGCCTGTCATGTATTCTACAAATAAAAATCACGAAGTTGTGGACTTTACAGTGATGAGTCTATCCTGTATGCTGCAAAAGACGCAGGAAATGTGACTGGTGTCTGTACACTCAGTGACTGGACGCC